CTATCTATCTATCTATCTATCTATCTATCTATCTATCTATCTATCTATCTAATAAAACATGGATTGGAAATCTTCTCAAGTTCCCCCCTCCAGTAGGTAGCAGGCATGTAAATGGTGGAAGAGGAGTTAGATTTGCCATTCCAAAATGCTGTTTCTATCTACAGCAAGAGGGACATTTTGGGAAGAAAGATCAGCATTTTGTTGCGTCCTAGTTGAGCATTCTTTGAATGCTATCTCAAATATACAGATCTCAGACCTGCTGTGCTTTTCTAACAGTACCTTAAGAGCAGATCTGACAGGCTGTTTCCCATAGAAAAAATAACTGCTAAACAAAAACCTTAAATAATTATTTCACCTTAACAAGGCCTTCCAAAACAAGCAAGCAGAAAATCAGGTACAATTAAAACTGGCACATTAATACTTTCTTGAACTGTTCTGGATTTCCCAAAACAATAAAGGGAAGTTTTGAAATAAACTCACCCACACATGTTCGCCCATCAGCTGAAAACTGATAACCCTCTAGACATTCACATCGAAAAGTTCCCGGCTGATTAATACACACAGCATTGCTGCCACACACTGTTGGCTGCTCCAGGCATTCATCTACATCTGTGTTGAAAAGCAACATTATTATACAACTGTCATTCATAATTCTTTAAAGGAAGAACATGACATATCTGTAGTTCAGTTTTAGTTCAGCTGAAAGGGCATCTCTGTTTTCCAAGCAAACCTGTTACAACAAAGATTAGAAGCACCAGCCAAATGACTTGTCAAGACACAGGTGATGAAGAACCTAGTATCTGATTTTGCCACATTAGGATATTGGTTTATTTTTATTCCATCAGATTCCTAGTATCTCAGCACAGTAATTTAGTATCATGACAACTTCAAGATCTGCACTAGATGGGATGGGTATTTATTTTTAAGCCCAAAGCACCTCAGAAAATTGCAGCCTTAAGCAGATAAATAAATTGTGGAGGGACAGGGCTAATCTATCCTTTCTCCTCCAGCCACCTTCCTGTTCAAAATTATCTCAAGGTTGCAGTGCAGTCATTGTGGATAACTCAAGCAAGACAGCAGCATTTCTGCAGTACCACTCATCAGCTTTGATACACAACCTCCCAAGACAGCATTTTTTGTTTTTTGTTTAAAAACAAACAAACAAACAATGGGAAGCAATAGTTATTATTGCAAATCACCTTTAGTTAGGCTCTGAGAAAGTAAGAGCAAACTCTACGCAGAATTAATTGTGTTGGTTGGCTTGGGTCCCTCCCCGACCTCCCCTTTCTGTGGATTACTGTGATCTGGATAGATAGGACTGAGGCTTTATCGTCATCATTCTCATTGCAGTCCCCATTTGGATTATATCTCAGTTATATCCCAATTGGAACAAAGGATTAAAAATGTCTTCCTTGACTCTGCATTCCCAGCCTGGATCTGGTCCTCTCCCAGCTGCTATTTAATTAAGAAAATCCTAGCAGGTACAGGTCACATTACACAAATAGCATATACATATATAATTCACTTTTTTGGGGGGGGGGTGCCTAGGTGGGACTAGAACTCACGGTCTCACAGTTTCTAGCCTGATGCCTTAACCACTACACCAAAGTGGCTCATAGTTCACGTATAGTTCTGCCCTAATTTACAGAGCTTCAAGATAAGCAGAAATGCTATAAAAAGAGAATACTATAGAGAGTACAAGTTGATCATACTGCTCTTTCTGTTGAGGAAATCAGGCATCTTTCTCTTGGCACACAAAACAAGGGAAAAATATAGCAGAATTTGTCATGTACAGCAAGTTTATGAAAAATACTATATCAAACAGCAAAGCATAGATTCTGAAAGTGAATGCAGTGATAAAAATCAAATCAATTCCACATAAATCCAAATTTTTTCTACTAAAAGTAAATTTCCTACCATAACATGTACGTCCATCTCCCTGGAAACCCACTGAGCATTCACAGGTAAATTGACTGCCCGTTCCTGGACGACAAACTGCATTAATATCACAGCCATGAGTGCCTATGTAACAAGGATTGTAGCTTATATCACTCGAACCATCTGTCAAGAGATCATAGAAGATCCTTAAAGAAGAATATCCGAAGCAACAACCTATCTACATCTGTGCTCCTGAAAATGTGGTTCAAATTAACATTTGAATGGTTTCAAGGTCAATAAGATGCCTGTGAGCCTGTAAGATCTGGATAGCACAGCTTTAACATGCTCAGCAAAAAGTTTACACTCTTCATGATTGTAACGGTTAAGTCAAACTATGGAAATGTATCTTAAAGGCAATAAACAGAAGCTCTAAGTTCTTCTAACCCCATATATTATTTCTAAATATAAAAACTCTGTTTCTCTCAATTCAGAGCAACTATGACATTATAAAGTCATCAAGTGAATTATAGCTGAATTCTGTTCACAAATAACATGCAGTATTAAGTAATAACATGCAATTAGTTTTTCTGCAAACCAGTTTTGTTACAGTAAATTTTCTGCAGATGTTCCCATTAGATAGTGCCAGTTACCTATCCTGTCTGGATGATTTATCAGATGGAATTAAATTTTCTTAGAGGCAACTTCATAGGCATCCAATTTGAAATCCAACTTTTAGAATGTGTTATATATGTCTTCCAGTCATAATTCAGCCTGGCTTTTGAACAATTTTAATTATTTTAAAATTCTATCATTTTAATTATGCTATCACACTTTATTTTTAATTGTTTTATGCATGAGTAAGACTTTTTTTTTTTTTGTCTGCCGCCGCCACCATTTTTCCTCCCCCTGGAGGGAGAGTCCCCATTTATCTACTCATGTAAGTTTTCGAACTGTTGGGTTGACAGGAACTGGGGAGGAAACAGGAGCTCACCCTGTTTAACGCAAAGGCTGGACTCGAACCGCTGAAGCGTCGACCATTTCTGGCCGGCAACTTTCAGCGTCATTAAGCCGCTGCGCCACCGCGTCCCCCATCAATACATTGATAAACAATGCCTAATAATCAGTATTTATTTCATTATGTTTTTCATTCTATATTTA